TGACCTAGCTCCTCTCTCAGCACGGAAGAAACAGACTTTCCCACTGACCGTCTAAGTTGTCTTTGGTGTTTGTGGGTTGAGAGGTCTGGAAGCTGCCACAGCTGCCTGAGATTCAGTCCTCTGAGGTCTGCTCCAGGTTCACTGTGGCCTGCGGGCCCACGCCACACTGTGTTCGTCTCCCTGCCCAGCTCGATATACCTTTCTGATCAACCATCCAGGTTGTCCTGGGCTGGAAATTTGCTTCACTCTGTCTTTTTGTGGGTTCTGCTGCTTCAGGATTTGTTTAGAGCCATTTTTACAGGTATTTGGAGGGGTTTGGTAGAGAGCTCAAGTAAGTCACTGCTGTCACTCCACCATCTTGGATCCGCCCCCACGATAAAGTCTTAGATAACATCCGTGATTAATAGTCTTGGCCTAGGTGAAGATCCAGCAATGCAGACAAGGAAGGGGTGTTCAGAGATATAAGAAGGGAACCAGGAGATAGCAGGAATATGAAAACCTATAGAAGCAAGATAATACAGGAGAAGAAGGGGATCAGTAGTGTTAAAGGTTGCAGAGAGGTCCAATAGGATAAATATTGAGAGAAGACCATTTGATCTGGCAATATAGAGATGGCTGGTAGTGCTGGAGAGAGCAGTTTCAGTGGCATGATGAGGTCAAGTGAGGTTGCAGAAGGTTTAGTGGAGGGTGGCAGGAGACAAAGTAGAGGAACTCCAAGGGTACACAGTTTTCTAAGAGGGTTTAGTCAAGAATGAAGGCCAGAATAGAAGGGGCTGGATTTGGGGTCAGAGCACTTGACTCCATAATCCCAGCAATGCTGGTTCCCACCGATGATCATTTTGGTCCTCCGTTTCTTCATCTGTAAAATGAAGGAGATAATCCTATCTTTGGCAAGCTTTGATACTAATTATAGTAACTGACATTTAACGCCCTTTGTTGTTGTTGTCTTTTTTCAGTTGTGTCCAACTCTTCATGGACTCGTTTGGGGTTTTCTCGGTAAAGACCCTGGAGGGGTTTGCCATTTCCTTCTCCAGTTCATTTTACAGATGAGGAAACTGAGGCAAGCAAGGCTAACACAGCAAGTAAATGTCTGAGGCCAGATTTGAATTCAAGATGAGTCTTCTTGATTCCAGGCCTGGCACTGTGGCATCTAGCTGCCCATTAAGCCACTTCAGGGCTTGCAAAGAAAGCCACTGTTAGCTTCTCAGTGCCCTCTGCCAACTTTCTAAGACCATAGATTACAGATCAGTGCCTGATCTATTATGGTAGAGGAAGGCCTCCGGCTGGTAGTTCCCAAAACCATTTACTTCCCAATACCACTGCTTATTTATTCAGAACCTATTGGGGCAGCTAAGTTGCAAAGTGGATAGAGCACCAGTCCTGGAGTCAAGAGGACCTGGATTCTAATCTGGCCTCAGACACTAGCTCTGTGACCCTGGGTGAGCTATTTAACCCCAATTGCCTCCAAAAAAAAAAAGAAAGAAAAAAGAAAAAGAAGCTACTATGTGCAGCCTATTACGTGAGAGGCAGCATGGTGTAATGGATGAAGAACAGGCCTTTGAGTCAGGAAAACTTGATTTCAAGTCCCCACTCTGATGTGTGACCCTGGGAAAATTCAAATCATCATCATCATCATCATCATCATGATAGATAACATTTGTATATCACTTTAAAATATGCAAAGCACTTTGCAAATTTGATTTTCCCAGCAACTATGGGAGGGAGGTGCCATTATAATCCTCATTTGACATATGAGGAAATTCAGGCAGGCAGGGGTTAAGTGATATGCCCAGGGTCACACGGCTGGGAGTGTCTGAGGCTGGATTTGAACTCAGGTCTTCTTGACTCCAGGTTCAGCACTCTGTCTACTCTTGACAACTACACGAATATTTTGGGTAACTCTATAAGACTTTAAATTAGAGACAAGGTTAATTGATGCTACTTGCACTGGTGAAGGGAGTTCCCTCACTGTGGAGTTCTCTCTATGCTAGAGAAATCACAAGTACAGATACTGTCCCTAAAACATGACAGGCTCCGTGCAGGGTAGTGGGGATACCAAAAGAAAACCAAGAGCTTCAAGAGGCTTACATTCTACTGGGGGTGAGTGAGTTGGGAACATCATGAATCCAGACAAAACTGTGTAAAACATGTACTGTGCAAAGTCATTTTTGGAGCTGCACCAACAATTGGGAACAGCAAGAAAGGCTTCCTGTAGCTGAGCCTACCCGAGCAAAGCCTTGAAGTGAGGAGACCAGTGAGGAGGTTATTACTGTAGTCTTGAGAGAGACTGCCCTGAACACAGGAGGTCCCTAGGTGAGCAAAAACAATGGAATGACTAAACATTGTGGAGGTAAAATCGACGGGATTTCCAAACTGATTTGGATATGGAATGGATTGGGATGGAGATGGAGAGTGAAAATGGGAGGGTGACTCTGAAGCTGTTCACCCAGACGATTGGATGGTAACTACCATCTGGCAGTGTTCTCAAGAGAAACAAGGAAATTAGGAATAGGGATGAATTTAGAGGGAAAGATGAGTTCTGTTATTGGTATGGGCAAAAAAAGAGTTTGCAAAGCACTTTATGTATATTGGTTCATTTGATCCTTACATCTCTCTGAAATAAGTACTGTGAGCATTATTACAATTTGGAAGAAGAGAAAATGGAGCATCAGAGTGGGTATGAGGTGTCTATTGTTATAGAGGTAACATTGGAGACGGGATTTGAACCCTTCTCTTTCCTGATTTCAGGCCCACTGTTTTTTCTACTATACCTCTCTCTCTCTCTCTCTCTCTCTCTCTCTCTCTCTCTCTCTCTCTCTCTCTCTCTCTCTCACTGTACTTGATTTTACATTCAACTCCAGAGGAGATGCTACAATTTCCCTCCTCTGTTATTTCTGTCCATTTAACAATATTAAATGTCAGGAAATCCTACTTACTGTCTGACTGACATCCCCACCATTATAGTTAAACTTGGTACACCTACACAGGTGTATAACAGCACAGTCCCTCTTGGTGGTCTGTCCGTTATAAAGAGTTCCCTATATTGGTTTTCTCAGCACAAAGTTTTCATGGTTGGGAGCCTGAAGAAAGTGGCAAAGATGTTAGTTAAGAAAATCCCTGGGAACCAGCGAATGAGTGGGAGGCAAGCTGTTTGCCAGGGCTTTTATCAACTTTTTGTCAATGGGAAGTCGTTCTTCCTCTACTCAACCCTGGGGAGCCCATGTTTGGAGTTTGGAATTCACTTCTAGACATCACATTTTAAGAAGGATGCTAATGGGCTGAAGCATAACCAGGATGATAAGGAGGCTCCATCACGGTTGATGGAACTGGGGGGATTTAGCCTCAAAAAGAAAAAGTTTTAGAGAAATGATAGTTGTGTTCAAACATCTGGAGGATTGTTGTACGGAAGTAGGTTTAAATTTACCCAGTGTTGTGCCAGAGATTAGGAAGAATGAGACAAATGTGTGGAAGCTACAGGAAGGCTAATTTTGGCTCAATGTGAAGAAAGATGAAAAAAAAAACTATTAGAATTGTCCCACAATGAGGCTCCCTCATGAGATAATGAGATCCACTTCACTGAGAATGTTCAACAGAGACTGGTTAAGCATCTGTTAGGGGATGGGAATTTAGACTTCCCATAGTTGGAGGAGACCTTAGAGATTCTACAATGGAGCTCTAATTACTTATACAGACTCCTCCTGTAGGGGAGAAAAACTACCAAGGATTTTTATCAGTATTAATAATAACATCTTGCATTTGTGGAATGCTTGATTCTCATTTGATCTTTACAGTGACCCAGTTTTGGAGTTGGGCTTATTTATTTTTTAGCTGAGAGGTGTGATTTCAATGAGTAGGGAACTCCCCATGAGAAAACTCCTACCAATGCTGACCTGCTAATCAGCAAATGTTCCACAGCTCAATGTTATCAAGAATTGCCTGTCATCTCAGAGAGGATAAATTTTTGTTTAGGGTAACAAAGTCAGTATGTGTCAGAGATAGGACTTGGAATTCAAGCCTTTTTTTACCCTAACATTGACTCTCTATTCAATACTACAGGATGCTATCATTTTAGGATTAACCAAATTTTATCTTAATTTTTTAAATTTGCATATTTTAAAAATTATACATAAAAGCAATTTTTAATATTCAGTTTTTAATATTTTGAGTTCCAAATTCTTTCCCACCCTACTTCCCCTCTACTACTCCTTGAAAAGACAAGCAATTTGATATAGATTCTACACATTGAGTCATGCAAAACATATTTCCATATTAGCCAAAAGAAAAAAGACCCCCCCCAAAAAATTAAGAAAAATCAATAAAAAAATTATGCTCTGATCTGAATTTAGGCTCCATCAGTTCTTTCTCTGGAGATGGATAATATTTTTCATCATAAGTCCTTTGGAAATTAGCCACAGTTGAATGTTTTTTGTTTCTTTTCTTTTTTCACTTTTTAAAGATGATGAAACCAAAGCCCAGAGAAGCACCATGGGCCCATGACCCGTACAACTTGCCTCAGCTCAAGGTGGGCATGCCAGAGCCAGGACTAGAATCCTCCACTAGTGTTGATAGTTGCTTGGTTTTATTTTTGTTCAGTTGTTTTTCAGTTGTATCCAACACATTCAATAGAATGTAGACTCCTTGAGACAGGGACTCTTGTTTTTTGTCTTTGTATCTCCAGTATCTAGCAAAGTACCTGCAACACAGTAGACATTTCACAAATGGTTGACGATCGACACTGATCCCCATCGAATTCATTAAAACAAAGGAAGGTCTTGGATCTTCCAAGGCCAAGGAAGAGCAGTGGGAATTCCGCCAAACTTTAGGTTCAACAACCCCAGGGTTGAGGACAGCTTCCTTCCTTCTTTTGATTGGCCCCTCATAAAATCCTGAGGGTAGGGTGGGGAACAGTGGGGTGACTTGGGGGCTGGGCAGAGGCTTCATGGAGAGCTTATAAACCTCTAGTGAGGAGCCTCTTCATCGAGTCTCCTCCTAAGGTGTGAGGTTGCTTTCTTCCTTCCGTCCACCCGACTTCCCTTCAGCATGAGCTTCACTGGCAAATACGAAGTTGAGAGTGAAAAGAACTATGAAGAGTTCCTGAAAGCTTTGGGTGAGTAGGCTTGTCAGATGCTTTTTCTGATAAAGTCCTGGGGCTGGGGAGTAACAATTGCCCTATGCCTAGTTTGTAGAGGCACTTGGTATTAACTGCTTTTGCACACTTGCATTTTGTAGCTAACCTGGGATCTAGGCAAGGCAGCCACTACCCATTTAATTGATAGATAGATTGAGGCAGCAGAAAGAGAACCTGGGGAAGTTAATAGAGAGCTAACCCTAGATTCAGGAAGACTTAGATTTCAGGTCTCTGTCGTGCTGTATATTGTCTACGTGACCCTGGGCACTGAATCTGTCAGTATCCTTAGGTAAATTTTTAAGATTGAAAAGTACAGTTGAAATCATAGATATGGGCCAGGGTGGGAAATGGGATGAATTAGCAGTGTAATTGGGACTAAAACTCTGGTCTCCTGAATGAACTCGGGTACTCTTTCCTGTATACTACACCTGGGATCCCGTTCTGTCTCAGTTACTGAAGAGGAACTTAGACAGATGTTCCCAAACTTTCCCTGTTTACAGGCACTTAGTGTCAGTAATTTTTTTTTCCACAGTACCCTCAGGCCAAAAGAAATACCAGCCATTTCCCTTATTAAGTAGTTAAGTCCAAATAACTTAATAAGTATTTATACCTTAACTATTTAGTAGAGGCTTAAAAAATATTTATAAAATGAAAGAAAAAAGAATATTCCAAATCCATTCTTAAATTACCACAATTAATTACTCACGGGATGTGTGTGCCCTTTGGGTACTGCACAGCTTCTCAAGCCTTGCAATCATGTGGGGCACTGACTGACACCCTCATTTTTTCTTCCACATTGGTTTTCATGTAGTACTTACTTTTTAATCGTAGTAACCGTCAAAATCCATAGAGGCAGCTAGTTGCTAAATGATAGATCACTGGGCCTGGAGTCAGGAAAACCTGAGCTCAAAATCTTGCCTCAGATACTTCCTAGCTGTGTGACTCTGAGCAAGTCTCTCAACCCTGTTTGCCTCAGTTTCCTCATCTGTCAAATGAACTGAAGAAGGAAATGGCAAAACTCTCCAGTATCTTTGTCAAGAAAACTCCAAATGGGGTCACCAAGAATCGGACACAACCGAAAAATGCCTGAACAGTAAGATAACCAAAATCCGTCTTCACACAAGTGGGTGATCGTGAATGGAAATAGGGTTTGCTGAGCTTTAGCATTTAGCAGAGGACATTCATCCGCTGTGCTTCCCTTGAGATTAAACATCCCCAGTCCAGTGACTGCAGGACACCAATCCCACCTTCCAAGTGTTTATTAAGCACAACAGGTAAAGTGCTATGGAGAAGCACAGAAAGTTTCCTGTAGGTAGCCTGGGGAGGTCTTTGAGGCCCTGCCGGAATGCCGATTTTGCTTCTGGAAGGAAGGCTGGATGAGGCAGGAATGCTGATGGAACCTCTGCCCTCTGTCCTACGTCCTACCTGCTTTTCATGCCATAGGGTGAGGGGTTTTGTCCGGTGGGACAGCAGCCAATGTGAGAAGGAACCAGAGCAGGCGTTGAGGGACCTGGGCTCCACCCTTGAGTTAGTTAGCTGTGGATCTCTAGGTAATTCCCTTGACCTTTCTGGGCCAAAGTTTCTATTCTACCTTACAGGGTGAGGAAGCAGATATGAAAATTCTATGAAAAGCTAAAAGCCCTCCCCAAATCTGAGGTGGTATTAATGTGGTTTTTTGTGGTGAGTCAGTGCTCGGTAACCAGAGAGACTGCTAAAGGGACGTTGGAACGTTTGCCCCCTACTCTGGGGAGCAAGTGATGCTGTGGGGATTTTTACTCCAGGGAGTTAGCTAATAGGCAAGTTAGCCTTGGCCTCCAAACCTGTTAAAAGACCTTAGCTTAAAAAGGCCAAGGTCTCCCACTGCATCCAGGGCCATCTCCAGACATCCTGATTAATATCTAGCCATTGGACCCAGATGGCTGTGGAGGAGAAAGTAAGGCTGGTGACTTTGCACAGCCCTCCCTCACTTCAATCCAATTCACTTGCATGTCGTGGCATCACCTTCCTGATGTCATGGTCCTCTTCAAGAAGGAAGGACAAACAGCCTAACACTGTCCCTTCCAAGTCAACATATCAGCCAGCATCTACTAAGTAAGCTCTGGGCTAAGCACTGGGCATTCAGAGAAAGAGAAGAACAGGGGCTCACGCTTGGATGGGGGAGACCACACGTACAAGCAAGAGGCATGACAGATTAAGCTGGAAGCAATCGTAACAGGCACTTAGCATTTGTTGAATGAAATCAAACTGTCCACAGGAATCACAGGAGACCAGACAGTGTGGGTCACAGGACAACAAACCTCTTCCCTTCTCTGACCATTAGTTTCCCCATCTATAACATGGAGGGGTTCGCCTGGATCAGGGGTGTCAAACTCAAGCAGAAATGGGGGCCACCTATTGACTTAGAAAAACACAAATCAATGTCATCTATATTGTACTGCATTTTTATTTATTTTGTTAAACATTTCCCACTTACATTTTAATCTGGTTCTGGCACACTCAGGAGTTTTGCAGGCCCCAAGTTTGAAGGTTAGATGACCTCTATGCTGTCTTCAGGCTTTACAAGTCTGGTGCCTTGACTGCGTCTTTCCTTCCATTGGGGTATGGGGGGGGGGAGGAAGCCTGGTTTGTAGAGAGCTTTTATTTCACCTTAGGAGGGCATTCAATCAACAAGCATTTATTAGGTCTTTACCATGTCCTGAGTACTGTGCTAAATGTTGGGAATTTGGGGGGTTTTCTTGGCAAGATACTGGAGTGGTTTGCTGTGTCCTCCCCCAGCTCATTTTACAGATGGGGAAACTCAGTAAACAGGGTTAAGGGACTTGCCCAGGGTCACACAGCTAGGAAGTGTCTGAGGGTAGATTTGAACTCAGGAACATGAGCCTTCCTGACTCCAGGCCCAGGGCTCTTTCCACTGTGCTCGTAACTGTCCAATGTTGGGAATACAAAGACAAAATGGAAAATGTTCCTGTCTTCGCGAACTTGCTTTTTGTTTGGCCAGATGGCAGGTACACATAAACACATACAAAACAAAGTGGGGTTTTGTGTGTGTGTGTGTGCGTGTGTATGTGTGTGTGTGTGTGTGTGTGTGTGTGTGCATGTGTGTGTGTGGTCTTTTATAGGGTGCTTGAACTAAATTTTGAAGGAAAGGATTCTAAGAATTTGGAGGTGAAGAGAGATTGCATTCCAGGCATGAGGGACAACCTGGGCAAGGCTGTGGAGACAGGACATGGAGTGTCTCATGTGAAGAACAGCAAGAAAGCTAATTTGACTGACTATGGAGCATATAGAAAGGAGCATAATCATCATCATCATAGCAACTAACATTTATATAGGGCTTACATTGTACCAGGCACTGTGCTAAACGCTTCACAATTATTTTATTGGATTCTCACAACAATCCTGTGAGGTAATTATTATTATTTTATTATCTTCCTTTTACAGATGTGGAAACTGAAGCAAACAGAGGTTAAGTGACTTGTCCAAGGTCACACAGCTAGTACGCCTCTGAGGTCCTGAGTCCAAATGTGACCTCAGACACTTACTAGCTGTGTGACTGTGGGCAAGTCTTAAGTGACTTATGGGGGTTAAGTCCCCAATTGCCTCAAAAAAGGAATCAAATGAGGAAACTTGCTGGGTTCTTAGGGAAAAGGAAAAACTTCTTTTCTTTCAGAGAATTGATTGTAAACAGCAAATGTGATATTTTTCTTAGGACTTCCCAGTGATGTCATTGAAAAATATAGGCACTTCAAGACAACCACTGAGGTGATTCAGGATGGGAATAACTTTACCTGGATCAATAACTACCCAGGAGGTCACACTGTGACAAACAAATTCACTCTTGGCCAGGAGGCTGAAATGGAGACCATGGGAGGCAAGAAGTTCAAGGTGAGGGACGACCTGTCCACGCCGGGTGCATCCTCCCTCTCATAGTGTAGGGAGCCCATCAGGGGCTGGTGTCCTTCCCACTGCCAGGGACACATACATTCTTATTTCCCTAATTCTCTGAAAGGCCAGCTTGCTCTGTTCCCTCTAGCCTCAGTCTCCGGGATAATTGAGTGGGTAGCACTGGGGCCTGGGGCATTAATTAAGCCTCCATGAATCCAAGCCAGAACATTATTGCTGACTGTGTCCCAGCTATTATTGGCTCTTATTCCCCGGGAAAGCAATATTTGGACAGTTTGGTGGCAAGGAGTGGGGGGTGGGGAATTTATCACTATCCCTTCTTCCCCCCAGTCTTGCTTCAGCATAGGGGTGGGGAACATGCGGCCTAGAGGCCGAAGATTCGCCACCCCTGCACCCCTGAGGCAAACGCTTGCTCACCTCTCCTTAGAGATGCTTAATATCTCTTTGTCTCCCTGAGTTCCCCTCCACCAGACTTCCCCCTAGAATTCACTCTCCTAGAGCGTCTTTTCCCACCCCGTGCTTGCTTCTCTCTTTATGGCCCCACCAGCAAGTCAACAATCACCTCCCACAGGGCTCTGATGTTGTTTCCAGTTTGGTTTGTACTTGAAGAAACTCAGTGATTTGGGGGCTGTGTTTGCTTTTATCTCAGGCCACAGTGAAGATGGAGGGGAACAAGATTGTGGCTACCTTCCCCAACTATCAGCAAACCTCAGAGATCGTCGGGGGAAAACTGGTGGAGGTGAGTCTGGGGTTCACCTCAAGAAATCCGTGGTGCTCCCTGAGCTTTTGGCAGAATTTGTATCAACTGACATGTCAGTGAATGAAGGGGCCCTTCTGAGGCAAAAATCTGGTACCCTTCCTGTTTGTTATCACAGGCTCTAGATCAGCAATTTTTAACCTTTTTGTGTATCGTGGACCACTTTGGCACTCTGATGAAGCCTACAGACTCCTCGGAATAATGTTTTTAAATGCATGAAACATAGGATTACAAAGAAAAACAATTTTCCTGAAAGACATCAAAATACATACATACATACATACATACATATATATATATATTTTTTTTCTTTTAAAAGTTAGTTGACTCTAGGCTATGAACTCCCAAGCTAGAAGGCACCACAGAGACTATCTAGTCCACTCCTTTGTTTTACAGATGAGGAAACTGAGGCCCAGGGAGGGAAAGTGAATCGTTCACAGTCACATAGGTAGTACCAGAAGCAAGATTTGAACCCAGAGAGCACTGGCCCTGAAGTCAGGAGGACCTGAGTTCAAATAAGGCCTTAGACCAAACACTTGACATTTACTAGCTGTGTGACCCTGGGCAAGTCACTTAACACCAATTGCCTAAAAAAAAAAAAAAGATTTGAACCCAGGACTTCTGACTCCAGAGCTAGTGCTCCTTCTGTCCTTTCTCTACCACTCCCCAAAGCCACACTGTCCTTTCTATTCTCTTTTTTAGGAATTCTCAGACAATTTCCCCCAGTCCTCCTTATAAGCAGGGAGAGTGAATAACAGATTACTGAAGGTGAAGCAGAAGGAGAAGCTTTCATTCTCTACCAGAAGGAGGCCTTCGGTTCTATTCCACTTTAGAGTGACTAAGCGTCTCTAGAATGCTTCCTGGTTTCTCCTACAAAGCTTTTTTTTTCATCACTCTCTCTTTTCTCTCATCTTTGTCTCTGCTCCTTGGATGTTATAGCTGAAAAAAAAATTACATCCATTCTTCGATGTTCCATGTTAAGAAATTCCTAGTGCAAACAGACACTTAACAAGCTATGTGACCCTGGGCGAGTCACTTCACCGTTTGCCTCAGTTTCCTCATCTATAAAAATAAGCTGGAGAAGGAAATGGCAAACCATGCCAGTATCTTTGCCAAGAAAATCCCAAATGAGGTCCTGAAGGGTCAGACATGATTGAAACGATACAACAACAGTGCAAGCTGGCCTAATTTGATATGCCTTGGGATGGGGAGCTTGGCCTGTGAAATGATCTCAATATGCCTGCAGACAGCAGGCCATGTTGCAAGTATGCATTTGGCCCTAGCTGGGTTCTCTTGAAGAGACTCCATGGTAATGGTTTACCTAGGTTCTTGGGGGGCGTCCAGGAAGGAAGGAGCTCCTGTTAGGCTGAAGATTCTAGCCTGACAGACATAGAAACAACAGTGCATTTGGTGTCCCAGGATTAGGTCTAAACCTCACTCTTCCATTTATCACCTTTGTGACTCTGGGCAGGTCGTGTGACCTCCTCTCTCTTGGCCTGCTGAGGGGGCTGGACATCTAAGAGGTTGATCCCCAAGATCCCTTCCACACCTAAATCCTAAACTTCCTCCAGTAGACTGTGGCAGAAGGCAATGCCATGATCCCACCAGTCTGAGAATCAGAGTCAGGGGTATGGAACTCATAGGACCACAGATCTGGTGCTAGAAGGGACCTCAGAAGCCGTCTCGTCTACTCTCTCTCCTCCTTTTTGCTGTCAGTCATTTTCCAGTCATGGCTGCCTCTTCATCACCCCATTTGTTTTTGGTTTTTTTGGGGGGGCAAAGATACTGGAGTGGTTTGCCATTTACTTTTCCGGCTCATTTAACAGATGAGGAAACTGAGGCAAATATGGTTGACTTGCCCACAGTCACATGGCTAGTAGGTATCTGGGGCCACATTTGAATTCATGAAGATGAATCTCCCCGAGTCCAGACCTGGTACTCTAGCCACTGTGCTGCCTAGCTGCCCTCTTCTCCCTTCATCTTACATAGGATAAAATTGGGTTCTATGGAGTATGGGTAACTTGTCTGAGGTAAGCCAGGTAGCAAGCACGAGAGACTGTGTTTGAACCCAGGTTCTCTGCTTCGAGAGCCATCCCTCTTTCCATTTTATGGGAAGCAGCATGCCACGATGGGCAGAGTGGTAAACTGGGAGTCAGGAATCCTGGGTTCAAATCTCTCCTCAGACCCTAGCTGTATGAGCCTGGTAAGTCTTTCAGCCACACATTCCTCAGCAATAAAACAGAGATAATAATATCTACCTCACAGGGTTATTGTGAGGATTATATGAGACAATATATGTAAACCACTTTGCAACCTAAAAGGTTATTTAAATGTTAGCTATTAGTATTGGCACTGGGTCTCCTCCTTAATCTTTTCCCTAGAAATCAGAACAATAAAGTGTCGGAGCTGGAAAGGCCCTTATAGCTCATCTAGTCTATTACCTTGGCTTTTTAAAAAAGGAGTCTTTGGCCCAGCAGAGGGAAGAGGCACGCCCACATTCAGCTCTTCTCACCAGGGCATCCTGGCCCCTGCAATTTATGGGACAGGTCTCAGAATTCCAGGGGCACACGAACCAGATTTGCCTGAGAGCATGCACTGAAAATCTCCAGGATTTGACCCTCCCAGGAAGCACCTATTTCCTGGGTCCTGGAGGCATCTAACAGAGTCCTTTATGATCTTAGGTCTCAGGGTTCAGGTATGCAGGGCCCGCTCCCACCTCCAAGCCTGGTTTGCTGTAGGAAACAGTCGAACAGCCGGGACTCTTAGCAGACATAGAAGGCAATCACTCCTGCAGGGGATGATAATGGCTCTTACATAGTATGACTCTCTCATTCAGTCATAGCTCTTTTTCTTTAGAGCTTTGCATTTTAAAAAGTGCTCTCTTTCCCAAATCCCTGCCAAGTAATATAAGCTGTGCAATAATTATCACTCTCTCTCTTTTTTTTTTTAACCTGGGCCTTAGATTTTCATCAGTGTAGGGAACCTTTTTCTGTAACTCGAGAGATGCCTGGAGACATTGAGAGGAAAAGTGACTGGCCCAGGATGGCACAGTCAGTATTGAGACTCTGGGGCATTTGTAGAGAAGCAAACTGAGGCTGAGGGAAAGGGACTTGTCCAAGTTCCCACAGCTAATAGGGTGGCAAGAGAACTTGAACTCAGGGCCCTGACCCTAGGCCTAGTCCTTCTACTTTTCTGTTTCTCTTAGAGGTCACAAAGACCTTCTGAGGCAGGTAGAGGATCTTGGATTTGGGACTGGAAGGGACATCTAGTTTTGGTCATTCCCATTTGAAAGTGAGGCCCAAAGAAGTGACTTACCAAAGGTCACAGAGCTCGACATTCATCCCGTACATGGCTTGGTTTGTATGTGTCTATACGCATCTCCTTCCCTCATTAGATTATAAGCTCCCAGAGGGGAAGGGTTGTCTTTGGCCACTTTTTGCATTCCTAGGACATAGTACCTGGTACATAGTAGGTGCTTAAGAAACAGTTATTGAGGGGCAGCTAGGTGGTGCGGTGTATAGAGCACCAGCACTGAAGTCAGGAGGACCTGAGTTCAAATCCACCCTCAGACCAAACACATGACACTAGCTATGTGACCCTGGGCAAGTCACTTAACCCCAATTGCCTAAAAAACAAACAAACAAAAATGGTTATTGAATTGAATTGATAAGCAGCCGAGACAGGATTTAGAACCTGGCCTCCAGTCTTTCCTAGTCTCATCTCCTCCCCCACCCTGTGCTTTCCCGCAGAGATTAGCTTCTGTTTATACTAACCCAATCTTCCATCTTTTGGCATTCAGTCTCACCCACTGGAATGTGGGCTTCTAGGGTGCAGAAGTCATGTTTTTGCTGTGTATGTGTATGTATATTCTCAACACTTAGCACTGTGCCTGGCATGTAGTAAATGCTTAAATGCTTGCCGACTTCACCTGTCTAACCTAACTTTGTCCTTGTTGTTTTTTTTTAGATTTCCACTAGTGGGGGTGTGATCTATGAAAGAATCAGCAAGAAGCTGTCTTAGGCAGCCCAAATCCTGGAACCCTCCTTGGGAAGAAAGCTTAAATAAAGCCAGTTTTAAACAGAAACTTCTCCAGTGTTTGGGAGTGTCTTGGTCTCGAGAAATCAGGAATTTTCGATGTTTTGAAACATGTTGTTTCTGGGGATTGGGGTTGGACAAGAAGAGGGTCTTGGGTTTCTGTAGATTGCATTATAGCGTTGGGACATCTGTCCTGGGACCTCAAAACTCTACAGTCTCCCAGGAAGGATTAAAAGGTAGAGGGAAGGGGGAGGAGGTGGAATCAGGCAGTAGGAGGAAAGTCCTCGTGTCCCAGTCTCATCCAGAATGGCACGGGTACCGCCATGTCTAATTCCACAATTAACACTGGTTTTGGTCAAGGCACCCATGTGGTTTGCATTTTAAAAAGTGTGTTCCTTTGGTGTCCCTTGCAAACAAGAATGAATTTATTAATGGGGAATGGGAGCCAGGGCAGATATACGCAATGAAGCAGAGAAGGGGGGTACTGTAGCCTCTGGGAGGGGAAGAGCGAGCAAGAAGCCAGAAGGGGACACAGGAAACAGGTGAGACACACACTCACAGGACCATAGATTTAGCACGAGAAGGGACCTTAGCCCATTTAGGAAGAGAGTGGGGCCCAGGGAGGCTAAGTATTTTTCATAAGATCCCACATTCGGCAGAAGCAGGATTTGAACCCTGACCCTTTGACTCCAAATCCATCGCTCTTTCTTTTGTCCCGTGAAACTGTGCCAGGTGGATTCACTCCACCCTCCCAGGGCAGACAGTCATGAAGCATTTATTAATATGCACTACTGTGTGCATTATACTAAGTGCTGGGGCTACAAATACAAGCAGAAAGAGAGCCCCTGACCTCAGAGAGCTTACATCTCAATGAAGGAAGACCATACATGCAAGGGGACACAGAGGATAGAGTGCCAGGCCTGGAGTCAAGAAGACCTGTATTTAAATCCAGCCTCAGACATTTACTAGCCAGGTGACCCTGAGTAAATCACTTGACCCCAGTTTCCTCACGTAAAAATGAGCTGGAGAAGGATATGGCGAACCACTCCAGTTATCTCTGCCAAGAAAATTCCAACTGTAGTTGACTA